GGAAAATCTGGAAGTGATGTTGCATAGCTCTAGGAGTTGCTGGAAACTCTATGGTTTTTCCATGGAGTTTCAGCCGATTCCTAGAACTGTCCAACATCACTTCCTTTCCTGGAAACGTCGTCATGACATACACAACACCACACGACCCTGTGTCCTACCCCCTCAAGTTCCTGCTAGTTGCCAGGACAGCCTAGCAACCCTATCTGGTTAAAGCACGTGAGTTCCTGAGAGTACAGCTGCGGGAACCAGCGGAGGAAAAGGAGGAAGAAGAGGAAAGCAAATCTGATGGCGAGTTGGGCTTCTGACAAGGATTCTCCTTCTGAAAAGGGGGTGGCCGCCCCCAAAAGTCCATATAAATTGAGGATCAGAAGAGATAAGACAAAATAAGGCTGAAGGACTCTGATTTGTGCCTGAAAAATATATATTAACTATGGGATGCTCTGGGGGTGTCATTAAACAGATAGATTGATGGGTAAAAAGATAAATGATTCAGCATAACCGACTATGTTCAAAGTAATACTAGCGATTAAGAATCATAACTATAATAATAACTATATAAGCTGTATGTTATGATCTCCTATTCTTGGGGTTTTAGTTATTAGTGGTTTGCTTTTCTTTCTCCTAGTTGTAGTTTTCCCTCCCTAATTCTTGGTTGTAGTTTGCAGTATGTTGAAAAAACCAATAAAAAACCTCCCCTTCGGGGGATTTAAAAAAAAAGAAAAGAAAGTTAGTTACCAATTTCAAGGTGAGACCTGATGTTCTCCTTGAACTACACCTGAACTCCAGACTAGGGGTATCAGCTCCCCAGAAGAAAATGGCAACTTCAGAGGGCAGATCCTATGGTGTACTATAGACTTTAGAAGAACAGAAGTCCTAGAGTGGCTACTGAGGTTGGCTTTTCTAGGATTTCCACTGTTCCACAGACACTGCAGATAAAGTGTGAGAACACGTTTGCCTCAGCCATTTTGGCTCAGTCTTCTGCTACACATTTTTTTCTCTTGCTTAACACACTAGTCCCAGCATCCCTTTTCTTACAGAAGGCAACCAGTGGCCCTGGACGGCCACCAAACAGGGCACTGAGGCCTTCCCCAAATGTCAACTCTTAGCACCGGTATTTGGAGGCTTGCTCCCTCTGACTTAACAGTGGTTCCCTTTAGTAACCATGGCTACTAACCATTGGCGGACCTATCCTCCATTAATCCATCTAACCCCCCTTTTAAAGTCTTTTATTTTAATGGCCATCACTACATCCACCGAGGGTTCTCAGGCAAGGCCTGGCAACCAACAGGAGACTGAGGGGCAGGGACACGTTTGGCGCCGTCGGCATGGGAACCCAGAAGTGATGTCATGCCTCTCTAGGAATCGCCGGAAGTGATGTCAGGCTGTCAACCCGACAGCCATTTTCTTGTCTTTTTTTCTCCTGCAGCCACTCCTAGCACTGCTGGGAATTGAGAGCTGGAAATGAACAATCCCCTGCCCCTAGTGGGAGTTTAGCAACCCTACATCCACTGGCTGTGAATTCTACCATGTTTCCAGTCTCCCACTGTTGCAGGTAACAGCTCGAGGTGCAGCAGAGGCCGGACAGCAACCGGAGATCTTTCTACAGACTGCCCTTTCCTGCCAGATAAAGATGCTCAAGGCTAGAATTGGTCATTAGGGGAGATGTTTGCATCGGTACAAATTACACCAGTCAAACACCCATCTAATCATTACGACAAATTCCTTTCTCCAGGTGTGGGTTCCTTGCTCACTCCTGTTTTTGTCTACCTAAAAACCTGTTAAAATTATTTTCTTGCCCAATTAAACAATCACTTGGGTTGGGTTTGGTGGAAGGAGAAGCGTTGCCGTTGAGAGCTTTTTATGTGCTGGACCATTCTGGGCTTAGATAAAGAGGCCAGTGCTGAGATGAGTCCCAAATTCATACCCACGAACTTTAATATAGACGAACATCCTAGTTTTCAAAGCCCTTTCATGTGCGAACATCCCTGTAGGATCTTTAAAGGCACATGGCCTCATTAATGCAGTGTTTAAAAAAAATCAAAGAGAACTCTTCCAGCCGCGTTGTTCGCCAAGAAGATGCAAATTATTCCTTTGTACCCTCTCCCAATTCTCAGCACTGGTGTAAATCCCTCAACTTTTCGGAGCTTTCCTCATGCAGATCAGCAAAATGATAGCACAGTCAGAACGTGATATTTATTTTTCAGATTTTTCTGCAAACCTGGGGCTTTTCTCAGGTTTGTAGAAAAGAGCTGCCTTGTCTGTTCATGGTTCCAATCTCTGGATTTAAGTATCCACAGATGTGGGCCAGGTTCAGAATTGGATATATTGATTGACACGAACACCCTTACCATGTGACAATGAGCAGATCCTCAAAGGGGGTGAAGTGACAGCTTTAGAAAAGGACAAGAGTGATTCACACAGGATAAGTCTCGTAATAGCTGTCAGCTTAATGGAACCTCCAGGTCCAAAGGCAATGTACCTTTCAATAGAAGTTGTTCTGGGATAAATAAACAGAGACGGATGTTGCCCTCATACTGTGCTTCTGAGCACCCAAAAGCTGGTTATTGCTAGAAACAATATCTGGCTATCTGGCTACTGCGAGGAACTGGAAGCTCGAATAGATGTGTACAGTTCTGGTCACCACACCTCAAAAACGATATTACAGCACAGGCCCGTAGCGACAGTGGGGCATTTTATACACTGTGGGTGCTGGGTTAAGGATTTCCCCCCCTACGTACACCATTTTAAAGTCTTCTGTACATTATGAGTGCTTTATGAACTAGTGTGAACTTCTTGAAGAAGAGCTATCGAAACGAAGATCACAATCCGGAGTCCTCGTCCTTGTCTGTGTACCATTTATGGACTTGCCCTATTCATGGACCTGCACATTATATGACGCAATTTGGTTTTACTGATACATGTGGTCCTCTGTTATTCTTGTCATATAAATTGACTCTTTTTGCATGACTTTCTGAGCACTCGTGGTCTGCGTTATTTGTATAGTACTTGCTTGCTTCCTGCCAAGGCCCCCTGGCTTCCATGCAGCCCCCAGCCCCCCAGGCTCTCTGGGCCTCCCAGCGGACCCCCAACTCTGTGGGGGACTGATCACTTGGGTTTAAACAAAAAATGATTTATTCAATAAAGAACAAAATAGGTTTCTGGTTATTTTGAAATGTTGCTGATGAAAGGAACTTTTAAATATAACCAGCAAAGCTTGGCGTCACAAACAGTCTCTCAAACACCAAAACTCCACTCTTACAGGTCTAGACACTCAGTCTAATCTCTCTCTCTCTCTCTCTCTCTCTCTCTCATATATATATAGCCACACAGGCTGAACTCTTTGTCTTTTTCACACAGAATAGACTCAAAATCTCCCACAGTCACACTTCAGACTTCACACACAGAATCGTTCTCATAGACACCCCTCCTCCCACACTCTCAGTCACCAGCCAATCACATCACACTTGTCTCCCTCTATCACTTTTCTTACACTACTGCAGTCAAACTAAACATATAAATGAAAAATTTATAAAATTGTTCTATACATTGTTATTAGATATGAAAATTCAAGATGAAATAGTAAAACATTCAATGGTTAAGTGGGCACAAAATGTGGGGCATAATATAGAGTTAGATCAATGGTCCAAGATGCGGAAAAGTAATATTAAATATACAATTTCTTATAAAGAAAAAATATATAAAATGTTTTATAGATGATGATGAAGAAGAGATTGGATTTATACCCCGCCCTTCACTACCCAAAGGTGTCTCAGAGCGGCTTACAATCTCCTTTCCCTTCCCATTCCCCTTCCCACAACAGATACCCTGGGAGGTAGGTGGGACCGAGAGAGCTCTTGACAGAAACTACTCTTTTTTCAAGAACAGGTTTTATCAGAACTACGGCTTGCCCAAGTTCATCCAGCCAGGTGCAAGTGGAGGAATGGGGAATAAAACCCGGTTCTCCCAGATCAGAGTCCGCGCACTTAACCACTACACCAAACTGGCACCAGAGAAGTTAGTGAAAATGTATCCTAACATGTCAAATATATACTGGAAATGTAAACAAAACGCTGGGTCTTTTTACCATATCTGGTGGACGTATAAGGTTACAAAGAAATATTGGATCTGGATATATGAGATATTACAAAAAACGTTTGAAATGACTATACCATTTATACCAGAATTGTTTTCATTGAATATTTGCCCAGAGTCTTTTAAAACGTTAGATGTATATAGGATTATACATATTACAACTACTGCCAGGATTTTATATGCAAAGTATTGGAAGAAATAAGAAGTCCCATCAAAAGAAGAAACTATTTACAAACTGTTAAGAGACAGCGGAAATGGACAAATTGACTTTACAACTCCAAGATAAAAAAGAGGAACTTTTTGAGGAAAAATGGTCAAGATTATATAAATGGATTGAGAAATATTTGCAAGGAACTCAAACTTAATGGTCAAATTATTTTTTGTTGGACTTTAAACTTTTTAAACTGGTACAGGTGCAGAAATGAATGATTCCTATGCGTGAAATATTCCCTGTTATAATGAGTATATGCTCCATGTTTGTTGTAGGGTAGTCTTTCGTCTTTTCTGTTTTTACTTTGTCTGTCTTTTTTGTTCTCCCCTCTTCTTTCTTTTTTGGAAAATTAATAAATTTCTTTTTTTTAAAAAAAGATAAAGAAACACACACACCAAAACCTGAAATCATTACAGAGGAGGCCACTGCGGAGAGTGCCCGTGTACGGGCAGTTGTTGATTTTGTCCATTGGCAGGCTGGCACCTGCGGAAGACCGTGCTCCGGTGAGCGAAGCTGTCATGGCAATGCACAGGGCAAGTGACAATCTCACAAATATGGCGGTCCAAGGCCACAAAGGGCTTTATATGTGACAGCCAATTCCGTAAATTGACTCCAGTAACTGATGGGCAACCAGTGCTGTACAATATCACCAGCCTCGAGAGAAGGCTTCCGTCTAAGGAGGTTGTGCTTCCCTTACCTGGGTCTGATTGTGAGGTGCGGAGCCTTTCCCTCTGGACGTGGAGCCGCTGCCCTCTATCTGTTCGTTACAGTCAGCCGTCCACTGCAAAGAAAAGCACGGAGTGAACGTGTGAAGCTGCCTTATCCGCCGGTCCATCAAAATCAGTATCACCTAGTCAGGTTGGCAGTGGCTCTCCAAGGTCTGAAGTCGAGGTCTTTTACACCGCCTACTGCCCGGTCCTTTTAACTGGGGGTGCCGGGGATTGAACCTGGGACCGTCCGCAGGCCAAGCAGATGCTCCGCCACTGAGCCACAGACCCTCAAGAGTGAAATGACGTCCCAGAAGGACGGCCCAAAGGCAGTCTCCATGTGGCCAAAGAACAACTTCAAGAGGACGGCCGTTCAACTTTATGCTTAAAAGTCACAGGCCCACAAGAGCATTTAGTGGCCTACCGGTGCATGTTTATATACACATTAGCTATTACCAGCACATCGGTGGCCTTGGAAACCCCAAATGCGCCTGTTTTGCAGACTGGAAAACTTCTTGGCTTGGCCCCCGGGTGAAATTCTTACCCATTGCAGCCAACCGACAGAATGATTATTTACGAAGGCTGGCTTAGGTTGTTTCTAGAAGAGACAACGAAATAATCAGTGTGCCTTCTGTACCTGTACGATGTACCACCTGGATCTGGCAACCCTACCACAGTTTGGTGTAGTGGTTAACTGCGCGGACTCTAATCTGGGAAGACCGGATTTGATTCCCCACTCCTCCACTTGCACCTGGCTGGATGACCTTGGGCAAGCCGTAGTTCTGATAAGAGCTGTCCTTGAAAAAGAGCAGTTTCTGTCAAGAGCTCTCTCAGCCCCACCTACCTTACAGGGTATCTGTTGTGGGGAGGGGGAGGGAAAGGAGTTTGTAAGCCGCTCTGAGACACCTTTGGGTAGTGAAGGGTGGGGTATAAATCTAATATCATCTCTTCTCTTCTTCTTCTTATCCCCCACCGGTGGTGAGAGGAGGTAGAGACTGGATTTATACCCCACCCTTCACTACCCAAAGGTGTCTCAGAGCGGCTTACAAACTCCTTTCCCTCCCCCTCCCCACAACAGATACCCTGTAAGGTAGGTGGGGCTGAGAGAGCTCTTGACAGAAACTGCTCTTTTTCAAGAACAGCTCCTTATCAGAACTACGGCTTGCCAAAGGTCATCCAGCCAGATGCAAGTGGAGGAGTGGGGAATCAAACCCGGTTCTCCCAGATTAGAGTCCACGCTCTTAACCACTACACCAAAGTGAACGTGGCATTCCTCTCCAGACCCTCCCGGGCAACTCTATAATCCAAAGATTGGGAGGAGGGCCATTCTAAGTCAAGCACTCTAAAACAAACAAACACTTGATCCTTATTTGACGATACTTCCCCATCTAGCGGACCAGACCTTTCTTGAGCGGGGCTGCTGGCGACCCCTCCTCCCGTCTAAAAAAATCCAGCTGCCGTCGCCCCGTTTAAAGTCCACGGCTCAAGCCGCCTCCCTGCACCAACCTGCGAGACGTTTGACTGCGTCTTCTCGCTCTCCCCGTCCCCCTCCGTCTTGTCGGTCAGCAGTCCCTGGACTTGATACTCCAAAACGTAGCTGTCGATGAACCGCTCCAGCTCCTCGATTTCCTGCGAACGGCTGCTGCCCGCCTCAGAGGAGGCAGAAGCCGCAGAGGAATTTTCCATCACTCGGGGAAAGGGACCAAGAACGGGGGCAGCCTAGAGGGGGAAAAGGAAAAGATCGGAGACACACTTTAATGGATGAGCCAGCAATTCATAAAGTCTGAAAAGTCACCCGCTCCTCTCTCAGACCTCACATATTTTAAGCAATTTCCACTATTGGAAGAAGAGAAAGAGGAAGAAGAAAAAGAAGAAGAGGAGGAGGAAGAAGAGGAAGAAGAAGAGGAAGAAGAGGAGAAGGAGGAGGAAGAAGAGGAAGATGAAGAAGAGGAGGAGGAGGAAGATGACGACGACGACAATAACATTGGATTTACACCCCACCCTTCACTACCTGAAGGAGTCTCAGAGCGGCTTACAATTTCCTTTCCCTTCCCCTCCCCACAACAGACACCCTGTGAGGTAGGTGGGGCTGAGAGAGCTCTTTCGAGGACTACTCTTGAGAGAACAGCTCTGAGAGAACTTGTGACTGACCCAAGGCCACACCAGCAGGTGCAGGTGGAGGAGTGGGGAATCAAACCCAGTTCTCCCAGATTAGAGTCCGTGCTCCTAACCACTACACCAAACTGGCTCTCTCATTGGGCACAGCTGCCCAACAGTACACAGGAACACACACAAAGCTGCCCTCTACTGATTCAGGCCCTTGGTCCATCAAGGTCAGGATTGTCTACTCAGACTGGCAGCTGCCCTCCAGGGTCTCAGGTCGAGTTCTTTCACATCACCTACTGCCGGATCTTTTTTAACTGGAGATGCTATGATATGATATGATAACCCTCTTCAAGTACTTGAAGGGCTGTCCTATAGAGGATGGGGTGGAGTTGTTTTCTGTTGCCCCAGAAGGCTGGACCAGAATCAATGGACTGAAATTAAATCAAAAGAGTTTCCGGCTAACCATTAGGAAGGACTTCCTGATCCTCAGTGGAACAGGCTTCCCCGGGAGGTGGTGGGCTCTCCTTCTCTGGAGGTTTTCAGACAGAGGCTAGACGGCCACCTGACAGCAATGCTGATTCTGTGAACTTGGGCAGATCCTGCGAGGGAGGGCAGGGAGGGTTGCATCAGTGCTCAGTTCTCGTGGCCCTTTCTTACACGCCCAGGGAAATGCTGATCGCCACTTTGGGGCCAGGAAGGAATTTTTCTGCAGGCCAGTTTGGCCGGGGATCCTGGAGGTTTTGGTCACCTTCTGGGTGTGGAACAGCAGTCACTGGGGGTGTAAAAGTAAAGGTTCCCTTGCTCGAAAGCCAGTCGAATACGACTCTAGGGTTGCGGCGCTCATCTCCGTTTCAAAGCCAAAGAGCCAGCGCTGTCCGAAGACGTTTCCGTGGTCATGTGGCCGGCATGACTAAACACCAAGGCGCACGGAACGCTGTTACCTTCCCACCGAAGTGGTACCTATTGATCTACTTGCAATTTCTTGCTTTCGAACTGCTAGGTTGGCAGGAGCTGGAACTAGAGACGGGAGCTCACTCCATTATGTGGCACCCTGGGTCTCGAACTGCTGAACTACTAACCTTCCACAGCCTGCAGTTCAGCATCTTAACCACTTGAGCCACCGCAGCTCCCCACTGGGGGTGTAGGGGGGAGGTATTTGTGAATTTCCTGCCTTGTGCAGGGGGTTGTACTAGATGACCCTGCGTACCCTTCCAACTCTATGATTCCGTGCCGGGGATTGAACCTGGGACCTTCCGCATGTCAAGCAGATGCTCTAACACTGAGCCACAGCCCCTCCCCGCATGACCCACCCTCTCATGTGGTACTGAGTTCATTCCAGATTTACTTGTGGCAAATGCAATAACCTAGATCCGAGTCCAGTATCACTTTAGAGACAAACAACGTTTTTGTGGTACGAGCTTTCGAGAGTCAAAGAAAGCACCCTTCGTCAGGCACCTCTTGAGTCTCGAAAGCTCAAACGCCAAAGATCTTGCGGTGCTACTGGACTTGAACCTAGCTTTTCTACTGCAGACGGACACATGTTGCCTCTGCATCTATCTGGTAACCTGGGTGACCGCGACCAAGCCAAGGAGAGCAAAATATCATTCCATTAGCAACATCCAGCAGTCGTGCGGGAATCCCCAGCTTCCATTTAAGCGAAACAGGTTTCTAGTCCTCATGGTAGAGAAGGGGGGGGGGAATATGAAAAACGTAGTGAAAATATCTACTTATTTCCTGCTCAACCAGACATCTCAAGAATAGAGCTGCCATGTCAGGGGGCGGGATTTCCTTTGCCTGGTACCTCAGCCGGAAAGAGCAAGTCAATGAGAAAGAAAGATGTGGAAACATGACTAGGACTGCCAATGATGGGTTGACAAATTCCTGGAGATCTGGGGGTCAGCCTGGGGTGGGTGAAGTTTGGGGAGCAGAGGAATCTCAGCAGGGTACAATGCCATAACAGTCCACCTTCCAAAGCAGCCTTTTGCTTCAGGGGGACTGGTCTTTGTCATCTAGAGGTCAGTGGTCATACCAGGAGATCTTCAAGTCCTGTCCAGAGGATGGAATCCACAATCATGACACAACCTTGGGTGCTGGTGTGCTGACCTTCCACGACAGAAGCTTTTATTGACTTTATGCCCTTTTCTCTACCTGAAGGAGTCTCAAAGCGGCTTACCATCGCCTTACCTATATTTCCCCACAAGAGGCACATCTGTGAGGCAGGTGGGGCTGAGAGAGTCCTGAGAGGACTGGGACTGGCCCAAGGTCACCCAGCAGGCCTCCTGTGTCTCAAAGCAGCTTCCAATCGCCTTTCCTTCCTCTCCCTACAACAGGCACCTTGTGAGGCAGGTGGGGCTGAGAGAGTCCTGAGAGGACTGGGACTGGCTCAGGGTCACCCAGCAGGCCTCATGTGTCTCAGAGCGGCTGACAGTCGCCTTCCCTTCCTCTCCCCACAACAGGCCCCTTGTGAGGCAGGTGGGGCTGAGAGAGTCCTGAGAGGACTGGGACTGGCCCAAGGTCACCTAGCAGGCTTCTTGTGGAGGAGTGGGGAATCAAACCCAGTTCTTCAGATTAGAGTCTGCCGCTCTTAACCACCACACCATGCTTCTCGCATTGGAGGGTGTTCTTCGGCCACCTGGAATGCGGTTTTGCTTCCAGAAGGCAGGTGCTATCAGGTTATGATCCAGCCATACAAAGATGACCAAACAAGATAGTGACATATTCTCTAAACAATGGAGGCCAACAAATGCCAGGGGCTGGGTCGGGGTGGGGGGGAGGTAGGTATCCCTTTAGCGGTTAAGACCATAAGAACACAACACAAGCCGTGTCAGATCAGGCCACTGGACCATCCAGTCTAACACTCCATGTCACACAGTGGCGAAACCCCAGATTCCATCCGGAGGTCCACCAGCAGGGCCGGAACTCCAGATGTCCTCCCATTGTGGGCCCCCAAGCACCAAGAATACAGAGCACCACTTGCCCCAGAGTGTTCCATCTGTACCTTGTGGCCAATAGCCACTGATGGACCTCTGCTCTATATGTTTACCCAAGCCCCTCTTGAAGCTGCCCGTGCTTATAGCCGTCACCACTTCCTACAGCAGTGAATTCCACGTGTGAATCACTCTTTGGGTTAAGAAGTATTTCCTTTTATCTGTTCTACGCCTACTGGTCTTTAATTTCATTCTTGTATTCAGGGGTAATTTCGTAGAAAAAGAGGTGCAAGAGCTCATTAGCGTAACTCGTTAGCATAACTTATTTGCATATCCCACACCCCCTGACCTCACCGGAAGTGTGTCAGAAGGCAACACCCACTGCTCAGGCTCCACTAGACTGTTTTGGATTTCTAGTTGTTGGGGGGGGGGACGTGCAGATCTGTCCTCACAGAGGAGGGAGAGCTTGCACCTGAATAAAACTTGGGTCTTAAAGGCGCCACTGGACTGTTTTGGACCGGGGGGCTGGGGGGGCTCTGCAGCTTACCTGGCTGCCTCTTGCTCTGACTGAGGGCTGCTGGGAGCAGGGGGGGGAGCCTGTGGCATGTGCCCGCCCCCTGGGCTCTTTACTGCCGAAGCTCCGCTCCTGTGCGCTCCTGCACGAAATGACCCCTGCTTGTATTATGAAAAGGGGAGAAAAGTACTTATTTCTGTTTTCTCTATCCGATGCATAATTTTGCAAACCTCCATCATGACACCCTTCAATCGTCGTTTCTCCAAGCTAAAGAGCCCTAACCTCTTTAACCTTTCTTCATAGATAAGGTGTTCACCGGGGAGAGGCTATGGAAGCTCCAGTTCTACTTGCAGCTTTTCAGCCAGATCCCAAAAGAAAGCGGGGAAGACAAAGGTTTTGCTTAACCTCAACAGGAAAGCCCGGCCCTATTGTGAGTCTCGCTGCACCGCCACAATAGAAAGGGGCCCATAAAAAGCCCCGTCGCTCACCACTGCTCTTATTGCAGAATTGACAGGCGGACAATGCCGGCCCGGTCATGACATACGGGGCCATGAATTACATGGTGGGGATGTGCGTGATGGAAGGGTAAATAATTAACACGGAATGAACTGCTGGGTGAACGGGGTAAATGTCTCGGCATTTCTGTCCACGGGAATGCTGATGGTCCGGAAGAACCAGCGGGGTGTAAGATCTTCCATAGCTTGCTTAAGACTGGAGGCCCACCCAGCTTGCCTCTCTGTGTCCGACAACATGCACACATATGAAGCTGTCTATCAAGGTCAGTACTGTCTACTCTAGCAGTGGCTTTCCAGGTATCAAGCATGTCACCTACTAGGATTGCAAACAGCCAGGCAGGGCCCAGAGATCTCTCAGAGTTGCAACTGATCTCATCTCTCCCTTATATATAATTGAGTAAGACGCAGCGTAAGACTGAGCTGACACAAAATGCGCTCCGTCAGCCATTGGCCGGCCAGCTGCCGCTCAAGGCTGCTGCCATGCCATTGGCTGGGAGGTGGGAGGCGAACGTTACGTGCGAATGGCGCGGCGTGGCGGTGATGCGCCCCTTGCCGCCTCCCCATTTCCCTCCCCCACCCACCCACCCAGTTGGAGCCTGGTGGCGGTGGCAATTCCTTCTCCCCCCCAATGTCACCGTCCACAACGGGCTTTGCTCC